GGATCATACTACCCAGCATGCCTTGAATGGGACTCTTCTCAGCCTTGCTCCATCTGTTTCAAGGATCAGCTTAGGTGATACCTCCAGATTTCCCTTATCATCCCCTCTCTTCTCCAAATGAAGGTGAGCTCTCCCTCTTCAAATTTCTTATTACACTTTGTTTGAATTGCTCTGAACCTCTGTTTTCTCATCTGTAAAATAGGAAAAATATATTTATATCATGTATCAGTGAAAAATACTGTATAAACCATAAGGTAGTATATCAGTATGAGTTACTATTATAATCATTATTTTTACCTCATTATTCTCATCTTTTTAATGGGGTTTAGATGAAACAATATTGGACAAGTTGCCACTCTCCTATTTTCCACTTATATTCAATGTTTTAGGGATTACCCAAGCGAATAAAATAACTGCTAGACATTCACCCTCCATAGGCTACCTGAAAGAATCCTCAATGCAATTTGAACAGCAGACAGAACCATGAGGTTGGTACAATTCTCATCCTATTTCTCATCACTTTTTTTCTTTGACCTACTACTCCCTACACTTTGAAAGCTTTTTGTTCCAGGAAGCTTCAAGATTACAAACAATTAGGATAGCAACAATTAAGAAAATCATGATTTTTAAGTATTTACAAATCAATGTCATGTCTGGGCAACTATGGTGGAGTTTGGTCCATGAAAATTGTCCATTCCCAGTACAATTCTCCAGGATTTTTAAAGCATCCTTATAGTTGTGGCATAGGGATTTGTTGTCTATCAGTTCATGAAAGATAGTAAGCTTCTGTGTGTGATGTGTAATGGAAGCCACAAAGTCATGACTTGTTAGGTATTTGACACAACCTAAATTTTTTCAGGTTGTAGTGATATATTATAGTGTTAATCAGTTCTTTATAATTATTATTATTTTATTACTCAAGAACTGTTCCATAATATGCAAATGGCTAGGCCTGCCATGACATATTAACAAGATGAAATAGTATATAATTATTAAATGACAATTATATGGATTATGTCAATGTTAAACACATTCATGTATACATACTACATGTATGAATTATATATATGTGTGTGTATATATATATATACATATATACATATATATGTATGTGTGTGTGTGTGTGTGTGTGTGTGTGTGTGTGTATATATATATATATCTCATAGTCTATAATACTCAGCAGGGCTTCTTAAACTTTTTCCACTCGCAACCCCCTCAGCACTTCTTAAACTCTGGGTTGTGACCCAGAGTTTAAGAAGCTCTGGGCTCTATAGAATAGATTGAGAGAATAGACTTTTAAAATCATAATGATATGACATAGACACAGGTAGTTGACCTCATTTTAAAGGTAGGGCAATTGAAGCCCAAATAAGTTAAGTGACTTATCCAAGGTTACATGGATAATAAATCCAAGTCTTTTGGCTGAGGGAGAAGGGTTTTTTCCTGTATACACATAACCTTACATGTGAGTACCCACACAATGTATTTAACTAAATAGTAACTATCTGAAGCACCTAGGGTAGAGTAGCACCATAACTTGGTGGGACAAATATGTATAGCCTTCCTGGACCTTCATTCAAATCTAACTGTATTAATAACCATCTCCTGTGTGTAATTAGTAGGGTCAATCTCAATGGTGAACAGTAATAATACTTATAATAAATGTAAGTTAAGGTTAATAGTTCATTTTAAGTTGGCATTTACAATATTCCAAGCTTCTGAGAGGATTGAAAAACATAGAAAATCGATGTAATTATGAGACTATTGTTTCCTGAAAAATACAAAGGTAATCAAGATATTACAGGAGAATCCTGATTAATGTGGTATTCCCCATCAGTTTTCCAGGGAAACTCTAGACACAAAGAATCACTTTTAAGTTGGTGTCATTTTTGAGAAATCAGAATGGCTCTGGGCAGGGGTATGCTGGTAAATGTTTTAACAATCAGCTCTCCAAAAACACATGACAGGCTTTTAAGGTTAATCTGCATTATTAACATTTTCTGTATCACTTTCTTAAGTGTAGAGATCAATAAAATGATAAATCAAACCTTGATTTGTAGTATTTGCAGATTTTCATGATGTAAATACTCACACTGAAAATTTAACAATTGGCTCTGCCTATATAAGCTGACTCCAGGACATTCCTGGCTCTAGAGGGAGAGATAGGAGGTGGGGCACAAAATAGTCACCTGGTCCCACTAAACAATGGCCAAATTCATGTTGAGATTCCATGAAGCAAAGCAAAGGAAACAGAGGCTTGGGCACAACTGTGTTGTGGGGATTAACAAAGGATGGGCAGGACCAAGGGCTGAGGTTAGGCATATTAAAGGCCTGCTATTGCCAGACATGCACATGGCACAAAAAATGACAGTGGAAGAATCTATAAGTAGGGGAAGGGTTCACATTCAGAGGATTTTAGATTAGCTAGGCTCAGTGGGCAAATAGATATCTATGAAGGGGAAACTGGTTATCAGAAGAAATGAATAAAAAAGCATTTACTATTTGCCAAGCCCTATACTAATAGCTGAAGATAGAAAAAGAAAGGCAGTCTCTGCTCTCACACTCTAATTGGAGGAGAAAGTATATAAAAGGAAGTTCAGTTATATCAATGGAAAAGCCAAGAAATCCTAAGGATGCTGCAATGGGAAAGATGGCAAAATACAAAGGTCCTTAGGATATATTAGTCAGATGACTGAGTCAAGGCCATAGAGGCAGGGCAGACAGAGGACAAGGCCTACTGGTCCTCCATCTCAATGGAAATAATAGGGGTGGTGATCCTCATCTCCTCTAGTAGTGAGCAGTCAAGCAGACCAGATTAATTGCGGGTGTCTGGGGACCGGGCCCAGGGGAATGGAAAAAGGGGAGGGGCAGTAAAGGCATGGAAGGGAGTAACTTAGTTTATTGATAAGGGGTAAGTGAGAGAAAGGAACTTTAAAGGAAAGGAGAATATACTCACAACCAGCAGAGGCAAGTTCTTAAGAACTGAGGACAGTAGAAGCCTATGGCAAGCCAGATTTCAATAATAAGGCAGATGCTGATTTGTACAGGTCAGATTGCGATAGGAAATGACACAAATATGGAAAGGTTATAGGAGAAGTGGTGAGAGATAGCCTCACTCTCCCACTCTTCCCCTACTCTATCATCGCTGTTTCCCAGGTGACTTGTCAAGGAAGCAGCTACTGGTGCTCTAGAACTGTGGAATTCTCCCACACTCCCTCGTCTGAGTAGTGTCTAAGTGGCTGCCATTTGAGGGATGAGCTGAGAGCCTATTGTTGGGACAAGGTCCTCAGCTGGGATGGAACCAGGGGATGTGTTTGAGACAACACCAGATAAGAGACTAGAACCATCTATGGGAAAAGAGGGCCGAGATTATGTTTATGCTCCAACTCGAGGTCGAGTGCTAAATCATTCACACTCTACCTGTAAGATGGATTGGCCATTTCCTTTTGCACCCTTCAGCCATTTTTAGGTTATCCAATTCTACTACTAGCTACTACTGTGAACATAGCATGGAGTGTCACTATCTGAACTCACTAATGACAAATCTGGCCTGAACACGACAATTCATTATTTTTATTTGCATCAGCAAAACCTTAGCAGGGCAACCAACTACTCATTCCCAACTGACGGTTTGCTAAGACCTGTCAAAACAGGGGCAGCCTCCTCCTCCCCAGTTTGCAGAGATCCACAATGAGTAGTAACTAGAGCTCCATTTATGCCCCTGTAAGGTTGAATGGCTATTCTTTTCTCATGCACACATGGAGGAAAGGTGTCTTCCATACAACAGAGACCCAACATATTACCTTGTGCCATCTCTTGTTCACTTCCTAACTGTAGACAATTTACATATTTCTATCCAGCACTAACAGGGTGCCAAGCACCCCTTCTAATTGCTTACTTCAAACCATTTCCTGGGGAAGAAAAGACATTCTGAGAATGATTTTAAACTTGCAATCAAATACTGCCCCACAAGAGCTATCACTTCTTTTCACAAACCCAGGCACCTCATTCCATTTCCTGTCTTTACATGTGGACGGCCAGGTCTCCAGCACACTTCCTTTGTTCTAATTGGCTGACTCCGTAGAGTCTTGGCTCAGGCTGTGCTGTGTTTATCAAGTATTTTTAACCTGGCTGACCTAAACCACAATTTTCTCTTATGTTTCGATTGGGTTTATCTGGCTCTGAATGTGTCCTTAAACTTTTTTTTATTATCTATTTTTTTAAAAAATTCTAGGAAAATCAAGTTCTAATTCTGGCTTTCTTTGCAAGTGTGTGGAGCAGGGACACAAATAAAGAAAGAAAACTGAGGATTGATTTGGAGGAGAGGAAGAAGAGCTGTCTACAGAGAGAACTGGGAGCAGGGCACTTAGGGACACACCCATTGCCACCAATAGGAGTCACAGCAGAAACCAGAGAAAACTTTGGGAGTTAAATCATCAAAATCATTTTCTTTCTCCAAATAAATGACAATATGATATCTCAACTTAAAAAAAACCTTTAAGTTATTTAACAATCAATTTAGCAAATACATGACTCCTCCAGCTTATACTTTCTCCAAGTTTGCTGGCGTCAAATTTGATAATTTCTCCCTGTGATCTGAAGTTCTGATTATGCACAGTCACCAGAATATGCACCTTCCCATAACCTATGTATAGACTACATTTTCTTTTTCATGGGATAAGGAGATAAAGGCCATCTTATTACCCAGCACAATGGTAAAGAACTTGTCCATTTTTATCTTTTTCTAGGTTTTGAATAATTTTAAATTATTTCACTTGAGAACCTCCAGAGAAGAAGGGAAACTTTTGTGTCCCACAGAGAACTGCTTCCAAACTAGAAGGGTGTGCCCCACAGCTTTTACCTGGGAGCAATAATGATCTTGTTAGGCATTTCAGTGAGACCAGCCCAGGATTTTGGGGTGGGGATACTGACTGGTTATACGTACCTTCAGTCCTTCCTTCACAGGAAGGCAGAAACATCTCAAAGCCTGCATGTAAGAACATCTACTAAGATCTTTTTTTTTTTTTAATTAGGCACCAGAAGAGGGGGGGTGGGAAGGAAAAGAAACAGAAGTGAAAAACGTAACTCCCTGAGACTTGGATGTAAGAGCAATCAGAAGCAATGGACTGGTTCCTGTACAGAACCGCTGCTGTTTTGTTCATTTTAGGGGTAAGTAGATCCATTTTTTAAATCAATAAAATTTGTCCTTATAGCTAGTGAGACCAATTTTGGAAGAGGCGATTTAATGCCATAGCCTGAACCAACAGCTTATATTAATGACTGGGATGATTTTTATAAGCCACATTTGCAAATCAAAGTTTTTTTTCTTTAAGACTGTGCCGATGCCTAACTCAGGGGCCAGTCTTTCATTTTATACCTCAAGATAATAAGATACCAAAGACATGTTGGATTTTGAAAATTCTTGGCACTGCCTAACATACTGAATGGTTACAATTTTGAATACTGGTATAGGTGAACCTTTTCAATTATTAAAGCGCTCTCTCTCTCTCTCTCTCTCTCTCTCTCTCTCTCTCTCTCTCTCTCTCTCTCTCTCTCTCTCTCTGACTCTTCTCTCCCCCTCCCCACCACAACCTGGGGATAATACATTGCCAAATTTTAATCAAGGAAATAAAACAGGACTAATTCATTCTGTAGACATATGTACCTACTCACTTTTGTAAAATGAAGAGGCTGGGTAAGATGAACTCTTAAGACCCCTTCCAGTTATAAATCTCATGATTCTAATTACCCTCCTGGAATGGAGCATGGTCAGAGCATAGGCATGATGGTTGCATAGATTTTCTTGAAAGCTGTGGGGGGGGGGAGGTGATTTTGTTATATTTGATGGTTTCAATAAAAATGACAGTAGAGAAGATTTATAAGTGATGAGGCATGTGAAATAACTGTTATAATTAAAGGGTTATCGTATAATTATTACTATGGCTTTTCTCACTAGTGGAAGGTCAGTTTGGCATAGTGGAAAGGAATTGGACTTGGGGTCAGGAGACCTTGGTTCAAGACTTTGCCCTGCTCAAACACTTTTGTCTCTGTGACTTTCGGAAAGACAACCTGAATTTGCTCAACTGAAAAACAGGAATAATAATAATAACCAGCACTACCTACCTCACAGAGTAGTTATGAGGAAAGCACTTTGGAAATTTTAGAGCTCTCTATAAATGTGACCTATTATTATATCTTGCTTCCAACACCTGTGAGCCCTGGCACAACTCTTTGCACTTTCCTGGGCCTCAGTTTCCCCCTTCATAAAATGAAGAGATTGAATTAGAGCCTCTGAGGTCTCTTCCAGCTGTAGATTTATGATCTTATATTCCCAATGCCTGACGTGAAAACTTGTATTCAACAGTCAGAATATTACCTAGAACAAAAATGTTGAAAAATTTGAGGTATATTAGGATATGGTCTAAATTACAGAATCATAGAATTTGAGAATTAGAAGGGACCTCGACAACCATGTACTCTAAACATTTCAATTTATTTAAAATCAGTTTTTCTTTTTTTTTTCAAAACTTAGGAAAATAGAACAGTCCTTCAAAGTTACAAGAGAACAATTATTTTCATGGGAAGTTTTGTTTTTTAATGTATATCACACCATGCAAATTCCACACAAGAAAAAAAATATATAAGGTTCACCTTTTATAGAGTATTAACAACAACTTCTTGGGAATTTTGTCCATAAAGTATATGGTATTATATACATTTATTTCATGTTTTGAAAAATGCAGCAGAAACACTAATGTCTTTCACAGAAAGGTTAAAGTAATTCCAAAAGGCAGGTGCCAGCTAAATTATCCTTGAACTTGGCAGGAGACGGTGTTTTGGTTCATATTTGTTTCTACTTGCTTAACTTAGGTCTGGAATGTTGGTTCTGTTTAATAACAAGTTAGATCTTTGATTCAATGAATGGTGGTTAGCTAAAATGGAGCTGATGGATTAAACTGAACGGCAACTTGAACGAATTTAACTACAAGTGAACTTCGTGAGCTGGTAGTGTGTCTACTTTAAATGGGCATTATGCTAAGCATTAGTTCCATTTCATTAGTCTTTCACAGAACTTTTAGATCCCTCAACACCACTCAAATTATGACTGCATTGAAGCAGCTGGTGTTGCAGTACATTGACTGCTGGGCCTGGAGTCAGGAAGATCTGAATTCAAATCTGACCTCAGACACTAGCTGTGCGACCCTATGCAACCTCTGTTTGCTTTAGTTTCCTCAAATGTAAAATACAAAAAAAAAAAAAACCAAAACCTTTCAGGGCTGTTGTGAGGATCTAATGACAGGATCAAATTTATAAAAATTAGCACAATACCTGGCACATAGTAGGCACTATATAAATGCTTATTCTTTTCCCCTTAAAGTATGCCATATGAATGGGAATAAATACTGGTATCAGAAATTAGCATAAAATTGTTTCTTTTCAAATGACAAATATTTTCCTCTCGAGTTCCATGTAAATTCAGTTCAATCAGTTATTTCTCATCATGGATACAGTAAATTAAAATTTGTATTCAATCCTTTCTATGATGAATTTCTTGACTCCACTGGTAATTTATTTTTTATGTATGTGATTTTTCTAATTAACTATATTTTCATTCTATATAATAAAATTTTCACTCTATATAATGAAATTTCCCTACTAATTTAGTAATCCTTCAATTTCCCTTCCCTCTCCAAAAAAAAAAAAAGTCATTCTTTCAGAATCACATACTCTCTGCATTGTTCTTCTATGGAAAGGGGCTTTCGGAGTCTTTGGTATGTCTCAATGAATCTGATCAGTTTTTATCTTTCATTTATGTTCAACTCAAACATTAATTAAACAGGTTGTGTCTAGAAAATTATGACAGGTGCCCAGAGATATGCAATGTTTAGATAAGGCTTGGTCCCTACCCTCATAGAATTTATATGGTTATGTTCTACCTGGCAACAATTACTTTTTCTTCATAGTCTTTTTTTGTGTTTTCCCCAAGTATTTTATTTTAGAAAAGTTGTTTAATTTTTCCCCTTGATGTCTTAATCTGGAAGTTAATTATTTTCCTTCTTTGAACAGTTCAAAGACATTGTGATCTCACAGTTTTACTCAGCTCCATTCATATGTATTTACATATACATTTACATACACGTATGTCCATATGCATATATATTTTAACTAAGTAGTAAAGCTGTCAGAAACAGTGAGATGAGCTCTTAGTCATAAATTCAGTGGTTACTTGAAGCAGTGCTACAAAATATTCCAATGAATGAGAACAGACTAAAAAATTGGAAAACAAGGCCTTTAAACATATCTACATGCTTAAATACAGAAGGTGGTCAATATGATAATTTTTCCCATAAGTTTTCTGTTAACTTCATTATGAATTCTGCTCATTACTAAATGGGTTTCAAGGCACTCATGGCCTCCTGCATAACAAAATAAAGTAGTATGAATTTACACCAGGAAATATTATCTACACTGTTGTGAAGATATTCCAGAATTTGCTGAGTGATTTCTTCCCCACTTAAAAACATTTCTTATGCTTAGCAGTATCTCTGTGATGATCCCCTTTCATGAGACATGGATTGGCCACACAAAGGCATGTTTTCTTGCTGGTTCATCTCATTTATAGACCTAGAAGTATCAAATGCTGTTTCCACTCTTTGAGGGAAAAAAAAGGAAGTCTGTTATAGATTAAATTAAATCTGTTATATAGAGCCCAGAGCAGCTGGCTTTAGAGGTAGAGAAAAATTCACAAGAGGCAAGAAAACCTTATCAGAGAAGTTCTAGGCAACAAACATTTATTAAGTGCATACTCAGGGCAGGGAACAAAGCTAGATGTGACAATAGGCTACAATTTTATGGCCAAGGACTAGAGAAAATGAAAGCAAACTCAAAGGAAATGATCAAGTAGTACTCCAATAAACCTAATCTACCCGGCTTTCATTTGGATTCTTTTGTTTCTATGAGAATTTGTATTAGGTAATATGGGGTTCATCTCCGGTTGACTGAGAAGTTTGTGTTCTTGAATGGGGAGTTATTAAAACTTTCTGTGGATGGATGTGGAGGTGGAGAAGGGTGTAGTATGGTTAATGTGGGAGGGGCCCAAAAGAGCCAGTTGAATTTCTGCAGACCTAATGATTTTTTTCAATTACTTGCAAGTTTCCATCTACAGTGAGCTAATCCAAATCAGGGCAGAACCCAACGTCTGACTGCACAATGGCAAATTTTTTCATCCTCATAAAAAAGAAAATATTTTTAACTCTAGGAAAAAAAAAATCTTTGTTTCCTGGATGTCAAGCTTGCTAACCCATAGAAAGCAAAGATTGTTTATCAGTTTAGTTTCAGCTCAAGCTTTAGATGACATCTGACCACCTGGAAAATTGTGCTCTAGTCTGAGCTTTGCTTATCTGTTTAACACCTTTCAAAAAAAATTCTAGATTCAAATTATAAGACGGACCTAATTTTTCAAACAACTTGGTCTATGAGGTTTACTTTTGCTGGAATATTTATTGGTATTGCTATCAGAATGATCAAGAATCAGACACCCTTGGTTCCTATAACCTTGACCTAACTGATGCCTAAAACAAGGAAGAAGAGCACTGATATCAGTGGACCAGACTGTCTGAGAAGCAAAAGGATCACAGTATCATATGCAGGCTCATGGATTTGGAGATGGAAGGTTCCTTGGAGGGAATTTTACTCCATGCTCATGGCCCTATTTCTAATTTAATCCTTCATTCAGCAAACATTCACTAAGTGCTACCTACTATGTATCAGACACTATGATAGGCATGGGGCATCAAAAGATAAAAAGGAAATCATATCTGCCTTCAAAGGGCTCAGAGTCTATTGGGAAGACAACATGTACACATACAAATATAGAAAAGAGAAATACAAGGTAATTTTAGGGGGCAAGTGCTAGCAAGTGCGGTGGGATTTGGGAGATGATGGGGAAAAGGTAGTAAGGAAAAGTCTTACGCAGGAAATGGTACCTGATCTGACTTCTGAAGGATTCTAAGAGGCAGAGGTAAGGAGAGTAGGCCTTCCAGGAATGGAGGATAATCTATTCAATCTATACAAAGGCATGGAGAAGGGAAAAAAGAATGTTGTATATGAGAAATAGCAAGAATGCCAATTTAGCTGTCACATGAAAGGTATGAATGAGAATAATCTAT